TCAAACATCTTACCATATTACATACGATTTTGGAAACTTCCCAAAATTTATTTTTGGAATAAAGGAGATGGATGAAGACAAAGTTTCTCCCAGCCATATTTATTTGGTCCTCAATATTTTGCTCAAATTATCCAGGTTGGTAGTTCTCAACCTTAGCTGAGACAACAACGTCCACCTGCCGAGGGTGAAGGCCCACGATAGGCTGTTCTGGGCACCTGGAGGCAAATGGGGTCAGGGACCAGACGTCTTTATAGGATCAGCCTCCTGGGATCATTCAGGGACCACGAAGATAATCGTTTTCTGTAGGAAGCAAGACATCTGGTGACTGCTGTATTCTACTTCAATCCTCACTCACTCTCACCAGTGAAGCTGCCTTAGGAACAACACCAGCCAAGCCAGGAGGGTGTTTGGTTTGGGGAAAAAATGATCTATTGATCCAAAGCAACCTCTGTGCTAGTGGAGACCTTGTCTCAAGAGGAAGGATGGCAGACTCCACAGTTCCCAGCTATCAATATAGGAGGGGGCTTCGTTTTCCTGGGTCACTGAAAAAGAACAAGAGAACCCTGGGGCCTTGGTCCTGGAGAAGACCCAGGGGGAACGTCCCTCTCAGAAACACTCTGGGCAAAGGTTGTGGAGTTGTTTTTATCTATAAATGTCCATATCTGATAGTTCAGGATTTCTTGCTTTTTAGGGTTTCACTGAAGTTTTAGGTGACTAAGAATAAAAATTCTAGTTAACACATACTTCTGTATACAAAATACGCTAGAAAGGGTTATGTTATAGGTGAAAAAAAAGAATAATTTTGTCTAATTCAGAAGTTATCTACAAGTTAGTTCAAATTACAGTTTTGAAAAGGTTATTTATGAAACCATGTAGTAAGGAATCATTAAGCAGGGGAGAAAGATGCGAAAAAAGTTTAAATAATAAAACATTCTTCAAACCCTGATAGAGAATTGGAGATATTTGGCTAATTAACACTTTCATTGTTAAAGCCAAGTCTTGATTAAAGTAAAATAAAAGTATTGTAAAGAAATGAATCAGCAGATTGGCAATTCTTTTTTAAATATAGTTAAGCATGAAGCTGGATTGAGTGTGGAGCCAAATTTCACATCCATGCTTGCATTGCTTCGTGCTGTTTACCACTTTGCTTGGATAGTGCTGGAGTACTTGTTGGTCATATGCCTAAAGTGAATTTCTTGATTGCGCAGAATTTATAATAATATTGATGAACTTAAGGATATTAAACTGTGTATCAGGAACAAAATATGTAATATGTGGGTTTTTGGGGTAGGTAACACTGTAGCCTCCCAGGTATACTGAGTAGGAAAATTTAGAGTTGGTCTCCTGTTTTTTGTTTCTGCTTCTAGTTTTCATTCATTTGTGTTTATTCTCCTCTAGCTTTGTGTGTATGTACATGTGTATGCATATATATAAAACCAATATTTTTTTTAGTTCCTAGTGGAAGGCTTTTACTTGGTTCTGTGAATAGTTATTTTGTTTCCTATGCATTTCTAGCAAATCATTATTTGTTCCATTTATCTGGAATTTCTATGCTGCCTTTGTTGGGCCACAGGAGTTAATGGAGCACACCAGCTTCCTATCCTTAAACTAATTTTTTGGATTCTAGGCTCCCTGATACTTTAAGTGTGTTGAGTATACTCTAATAAATAGAATTTGAGTCACATTTCTCTCTCTCTTTGCCTAATTTCTCCAAAATTTGTAAACTATTTGTGAATATTCTTAATTCATGGCAATGTGTTTGTTTGCATACAGTCAAGCGGGGTCAACTAGGGCTGGTCAGGGAGAGAGAACCCAGAAACGTGGCATGCTGGCAAAAGGGTAAGAATTTCTTACCAGCCAGTCACTGGCTTCTTTCTCTCTGTACAAACTGGTTAAACAAATAGTAAAAGTCACTGTTTATCTCCTCTGTAAAGTTTTAATTAATATAAAAGAGCTTTAATTAATTGGTTTAATAATAATAAGAGCTTAAATCAAATATTTTGTCGGAAAAGTGAAAAATGTAATGCCTTTTATTTAGTTCATGTGACTTGAGTAATCTTTGGGAAATAAAGACAGTTTTAAAGATTATTGGTAAAATACAAATGTCTTCAAAATGTAAACATGTGGCCTAAGTTATGTTCAAATATCAGGTTTGCTAAATGCTTTAAGGTCATAAACTGCTTCTTTAGCTTTTGAAAATTGTTTAACTTGTCTGCTTTCCTCCAGGTGAGGCCTGAGGACATGTGGAGTTGGCCACACCCCTAGCTAATGCTGGAAATAGTCAAAACTTATCAGAACATAACTTACCAGGTTTCACATTAAAATTAAAATTGCTGAGAGTCACCATTATAACACATAATTAAGACTAGTAGAAACAGTTTTACATGCAAGGTGTGCAAGAACAGTAGAATTTTTTGTAAAAGATTATAAAAGTTTTTTGCTTCTTTAAAATTTCTGAGTTATAATTTTGGCAAAATAAATAATTTATGGTAATCTTGAATTCCAAAGTTAAACTTCAGTTTTAAAATTTTCTTTCCTAATGCCTAGCTTTTTGAATGGAACCAGGGGTTCCTTGAAAACATCTGGAAAAGAAGTAAACAAGATTATTTGACATGGTTAGGTATATGGGATTGCCAAAATGATGTTCAATCTTCTTTAGGTTATATTTTTGTGAATAATACTAACATATATTCCAAAATTATATGGGATTTCTAAAATTCTAATGTGTAAGTATATGCTACCAATTATAATTATAGTTATTGTGTTAAGTTACTGTAAACCACAGAAATAATTAAATTTCCTTATATAAAGGAAATTTGTTCTACCCAAGTAGAACAAAAAAAATTAAATACCAAAAAAAGTCAGATTTTCATGTTAAACCAGCTGATACTGAAATTGTTTAGATATACAATTTGAATAAATTCACAGCTTAAGTCAAATTACCTTTGATAACTCATCAGTTATAGTTATCAGTGCTATGCACCTAATTTAGAAAAACAACTGGTATTCAAGAGGATATACATCTGATGTTAATAAGCATGGACTCATGGAGAACCAGGATGACCACCTTGTCCTTTTTGAGTCCTTAAAGCTTTTATTAGTAAAAGTTCTGTATTCCATGACTCATCATGGAAAAGATAAAATAATCCAAAGTGAATACATGCATGTAGTAACTTATAAATTACTAAAATAGTTTATAACCAATGTTTGGCTCTATATTCGTGGGAAAACAATTAAAGCTTCAGGTACATTTGGTCACCTGGTGGGTCATTTGAACACTTTATAAAGGGATTTCGCTCAATTGTTATTTTCAGTGCATGTTTTCTGGTTGTATAAAAGCTTTCCTGGACAGGCAAGGTGGCTCACGCCTGTAATCCCAGCACTTTGGGATGCTGAGGATCACCTGAGGTCAGGAGTTCGAGACCAGCCTGGCCAACATGGCGAAACCCTGCCTCTACCAAAGGTACAAAATTAGCCGGGCATGGTGGTGGGTGCCTGTAATCCCAGCTACTCAGGAGGATGAGGCAGGAGAATCACTTGAACCTAGGAGGCAGGGGTTGCAATGAGCTGAGATCACACCATTGCACTCCAGCCTGGGTGACACAGCAAGACTCTGTTTCAAAAAAATAAAAAGCTTTCCCATGCCAGAGGGCTGATGTTTTCACAGCAGATTATTATGCTACAGTGTAGTTTCATCTGGTAAAGAAAACTTTTTATGGTTTGGATCTTCTGAGAATGTCAAAGAAAAACTGTCCTTGCCATCCACACTATTACAAAACTTCAGGACCTTGAACTTTGGGTTCATAATCTCACAACTGAGAAGCGTCCCTCATCACTCTTGGAACTGTACATCCGTTGAAATCCTTAAGGTAAAACTAGCCAGGAAGGTTTCTCCCCAGAAGAAGATGGCATCCTTGATGTGAACTGCTTTTTCCACGTTCACAGATTAAGACTTCTATTATCATGAAACTCTTTTCTTTGAATATTTTTTCTTGCTTACACCTCTATAAACAATAGAAGTGAAAAGGGAGTCAGTCTGTTATGTGCACTTACTGGGTATAGTTTTTTTTGTGAGGAAGTTTACAGCCAGCCCTATACATGGAAAAACTTATACTTTGATAGACAAAAGATGAAGGCCTAATATAGGTACAAAACTTTAATGGTACATACATTGCCTCGTATTCAGTTATAAACAAAACATTGATTCATTCCTTTTAACCCACAACATGGGTTAAAAAGAACACTGCCAAGAGGTCTTCACTCTTCTAGAAGGGCATCGTTTGTTAGGTCCTTTTTCCATGGTTTAAAGTAAAAGAAGCAATGATTAGAAATGTATCCCTCATGATAGACTCTATAGCAAATTATACAGTAAAGGACACAACAAACTAAATTCTCTTGTGAAAGTTATAATAGAATTGGCTGAACAAGAAGTATCTGCCGCTGCTGGCACTTGTGGCCTATGGAGAAATACATCAGGTGAAAATTATGGAAATTCAGTGGTAGGGGATTAAAAAAGAGACTACTTATTAAGTGAGTAGACTCTTTATCTGGCTCATTCTTTGCTCTATTTGATTTTAGGAGGTTTGACTTATGGAGACCCTGGGTAAGGACCATACTCCAAACTCTTTGTACTGTCCTGCCAATAGTCATGAGAATAGTCTCCCTGGTGCACTGGATTCTCTCGAAGGTTTTATTGCTTGCATGCAGCCATCTCTAGAACGTCATATGGTCTCTCTTCAACCGGAATGACAAGAGCTGAAAGAAATGTGCAACCTTGAGGACACCGCAACCTATCAATGAAGTCCTGAGACCGGAAACCCAAAATGATGGTAACTGAGAGTGGCGCTAAGGCCCTAAGTTTTGGCCACACTCTCACCTAAGAGAGAACCTGACGAAAAAGGGGGAATATTTTTTTAAAAAATTCTGGGATGCCATTGTTTTAGACTAAGATCATGCACTAGGCCCCAGCAGACCAAACCAAGCCAAAAGGGAGTTACCTGTGCTAAGAGTTTAAGGAAACACATAGATTCTAGAACAGACCAGGTTTTGTTTTTTCTCTTGCAAATCTCTATAACAAACATTCCTGACAACATAGATATCCATCCCCTGAAGTTCCCATTAAATCTTTTAACCAAATTCATTTCCTCTCATCTAGAGACCATCAAGCTTCAGATAGTTATGCAACAAAGGTTCCAGCTAGTTCCAGGTGAAGACACCACCCCGGCCATCAAGGAGCTACTCTGCCTCCACTAGACAGAGCAGGGCGAGAGTTCTGTGATCCCCAACAGGTAGGGACTATGCCCCAAGCCAGCATGAAGCAGTTACAGAAGAAAGACCATTGGTCCTTCTGCCTCCCACAAAGATTTATGGGAATCACATCTCTCAGGGGGAAAATGAGGCAGGAAAATAGGGACTGGAGGCAGGGAACATAAGGCTGATTCACACTTCAGCTATGACAGCAAATATCCTCTCCATAGGGCATATACCAAGTAAATGACTTTGTAACTTTAATTCATCCTCTTCATTACATAAAGCATATACCATGTAACCAATGGAATCCTGTAAAGGATACTTAAGCTCCCAAAAATTCTGTAATGGGGCCCTTAAGCCCCCATCCTTGGGCCCTCGCCCAGACTGTAGAATGTACTTTCATTTTCAATAAATCCCTTCCTTTTTTGTCCAATTTTTTGTTCAAGACGCCAAGAACCTAGACACCCTCCACCAGTGACACTACCTGGAGCTTCCTTCTGCACTTCCTCTTCCTCCTCTACTCAAAGACAGTCACGTGGGTCTGCCAGTCCTCAGGGCAGGTGCTGAGCACATGTGTGCTGGACATGCTGGATGCTGGGCAGACGGGTTGGGGGTCTGTGGGCAGGACCGTCCCCAATACCCCTTCTCCACTTTCCACTTTGTCCCCCTCTTCCCTTCGAAGGGCCCTGAAGGGCACTGGGGCAGTCGGACCCAACTGTGGAAGCCCCCACTCCCACCTCCTTAGAGAGCAGCAGGGACCCCTCACTCTCGAGTGCCCCTCCAAGGCTGGCAAGACAATAAGCCAGGGAAACAAGAGAATCAGTGCTCCTGGCCCAGAGAGGATATGGGCAGACGGCATGGGAAGATCCCCTGGCCCGGAGCCAGAAACAAGAATTCAGCCAGGTGTGGGACGGGTCCAGCCCCGGCATGGAGTGGACAGCCTGGAGGGCAGAGGGGGCCCTGTGCCCAGGGCCTTCTCACCCACTGTGGAGACAGGCCCCCATGTGAGGTGGCAAGCGGGCTAGGTGACAGTGAAGGCCTCTTCCATCTGAGATATGAATCAGGGCTGCCCAACCAGGAGTGACCTGAGGCTCCCCCATTCCAAAAAGCTCCCCAACCCCAGACTGCACACAGCACTCCCTCTGGGATCAGCAGCCTGCAGGGGTGTCCTCAGTCACAGACCAGGGGGCCACACAGGGACCCCGAGGACGCCAGAGGCCCAGGCCTGTGGGGCTCATCCCTGAGGGGCCCCGGTGGGCTCGGTGAAGATGCTGACCATGTCTGTTTCTTTTATTCTCAGCCAAACTGGAGCGAGGGTCCTCAAGGGCATCCCCTGGCATTGGGCCATCTGTGAGGGAGACAGACTGGCCCTCCCTGGCCCAGCAGCTCAGCTCCAGGGGCCCATGTCATCAGCCCTCCTGGGACAGAAGCCTTGTCCTGTCCGGCCTGTATTGTACCTAATGTCTCAGTCACAAAGTTTTCCTATTTCTGTCCTGGAGAAATGGAGCTTTACTGGTTTGAAGGTCTTAGGACCCATGTAGAGTGAAGCCTCCCAGAGGGCACACGAAAAATGGTTGCATTTAACATGGAGACAGCATTAAGTCTGGAAGCTGGGACATTTTCTGGTGCCCCCTTAGTGTTTCCATGTAAAGGAAGTCAAATAACTTGCCACAGAGGTTTGTAACAGAGGCACCTGAACATGGAGGGGGAGGGCTATTTAACTCTCAGAGGCTAACTGAAGATGAGGCCAAGCAGGAGAGTCCTGACTCACTGAGGGCAGGGGAAATGTGTGGGGGCAGGTAGGAGAGCACTTCATAGACATACACCATGGCCTTGTGACCTGTCACAGAACCGTGCACTTAACTAGCTGTGCACATTTTCTCTCTACTCCATTTGCTACTCTCCAATCATGCAGGGAGCTTGCTACAAAATGCACATTGCTATACCACAGCCCAGGTCTTGCAATCCAAGTCTGGCAAGGATTCCTGCATGTCAATGGCCTCGGTGACTTTCATGCACACCCAAGTCTGAAGGTCCATGGCTGTTCTGACTCCTGGATGTCATCACATGACCATGAAAAAAGGAACAAGCGTCAGCAGCAGCAGGCCAGTCACAGAAAGGGAAGAAATGTGAGTGCATGGCCTTCTCGACACCCAAACCAGTCTTTGGGCACAAATTGAGACCGCAGCTCTGGCCACTGACTCAGACCAGGGACATCCCCATCCAGGTCGGTCTGCGCTTGCTCTTCTTCCTCCTGCCACCCTCTCTTTGACTGCTTGTGTCAATAAAAGGAGAAGCAGCCAGTTTTCGGAATAAAGTGTAGCTTAATTATGACATAGGAAAGACTGCAAGCCACTAGGGGAGAAGGAAGAGTTAAAAGGCTCCTGAAAATGAGAGGGGAAAGGAAGGGGCAAACATCTTGGTAAATAAAGTCTCCAACCACAGCACAGTCACTGGAATTTTTTTCTTAATTTTTATTTTCAAACTTACAGTAAACAAAGCAGCCAAACTGTCAAAAGAACAGCAATTTTACACAATGAAAAGATGAAAAGCATACACACCAAGCCAAAATACAACAGCTCTCGGGTCTATATGTTGCAGCGGTGCTGGCACAAGAGGGAACATCCAGGAAGGTTCCAGTGCCTGCCAGGGAGCCCAGCCCCATGGAGGGCCCCGGGGCTGGAGGGAGGCCACTCACACTCCAACACATCACCCACCTCAAAGCATTCCCTTCAGGCATCTGAAGCAGGAAAGCCCATTTGACTTCCTGTGAAGCGCTGAAAGTACAGCCAGCATCTCAGACATGCAGGGGATTTTTAATACACTGGTGGGAATGTGTTGGGGGGGTCACCCAAGGGGTCCCTAAGTGGTCAGATACATTTGTCACAATTTACACCTATGTGAGGTGATTACTAGGCAACAGGAGAACAGGTTTCCTGAATTTCATAGCCAGATCAGGAGCTAAAAGGAGAGATTTCCTGAACCTAGAAACGGCAATGTCACAGTGAATAGGGGATTAACTTGGATACAAAAGTTTAGAATAATGCCCACCAGGAATGCATGTAGCTCCATCTCTCTTCCCAGTTCCAGTGTTCTCAGAGCAACAGCCACCCTTGAATCCATAAGGAGACAGGAAGGGGCCCAGGGGAACATGGGGAGGCAAGGTTTGGCCAAACCACAGCAGCTACCAGAAAGGCCCAAGGCCCTCACACCTGCCTTCCACACTCTTCAGAGGACACCCCTGTAAACCGGGGTGACCCGAGGTGGCAAGCCTTCAAGAAAGGCGCTACCCGGCTTCCAATCCTGCAGGCCAACTTCAGTCAACTCTCTTTTTCATTAGATTTGTTCCTGATTAAAAGAGAGCTCTTGCCCCCAAAAGAGATCTTCATAGCACTGTCACACAAACAGCAGAACTTGGTTATGTACAGCCTCTTCTGAAAATCTGGGCCCATCCTATTTCTCTGATAATTCTTGTTCTAAAGCATGCTTCCTCTTGAATTCTTTAAATGCAGAAAAACAACAGAAAATGAACTGATGTCATGAGTACCCTAAGGCTTCTGCCGCACGTGATGGTTCTGCCGGGTATGATCGTCGTGTCCTGTGTTCTGGTGTTCTCTCCACTGAGCAGTGAGTTCTGTCACTGCCCCCTCCCCAGCCTAACCAGCTAAAGAGCTGGACGTGGTCCCCACCAGCTTCCCTGTGCCTGTGAGCTAAGAAAAATTTTCACATTGTTAAATAGTTTTTAAAAATCGAAGTTTCTTGACACTGAACATTATATGCAATTCAGATTTCTGTGTCTAAGAGTTGTACCAGACACAGCCATACTTCTGTAGTTTACGGCAGAGACCATACAGCCCCCAGAGCTGACAGTGTTCGCTATCTGGCTGTCTGTGAAAACATCTGCCCACCCCCAAAACAGGGGATCCTGTTCTCTGCAGGACTGAAGAGCCCTCAGTTCAGATGCAGACAGGGCTCCCAGACAAGCACAGCTTGAGACACGGTTGTTTCATAAATTATATTAAGTATTTTTCCTCCTCCTTGTCCCTAGTTTGCAATTTCACAGTGGACAAATGGACAAACCACCATGTTTGAATTTGAATACATAGATACACGCAAGATATCTTACAAAGAACAACGCACATCCTTCTGCTTCCTCTTTCGGCTCTGCTGACAAGTTTGGTCATGATGTCATTGTACCCCCACTATGCCTGAAAGTACACCAAATGTAAAGCAGAGGCAGACACCACAAGATGCAGGCTCCACCCAAGGCCACTCCAGCTTTGCAACCAACACACTGGCCACCAGGCAGTGGCAGCCAGGCAGTGGGACAGAAAGCCGAGAAGGAAAATACGAGAGAAGGATCGATCAGACACCAGCAATGATGCATTTACTCCAGACTGAGATGACAGAGACACGTTGTGAGTTGCAGCCCGACTCCTTCACTGCACCCACTACCAGCCACCGGCAGACACCAAGGTGGCCAGAGGGGAGCCAGGTGCACAGGGCAGAGGCAACATAAGCAGCACCGATTTAAAAGTAAGACTCACTCTCAGGACTAAAGGAGAAGCTATCTAAATTTCAGTATCAACAGTAATTCACTCACTTCGCTAGTGTTACATGTATGAAGTTCACCTCTGTGGAAAAAGAGAGGAAAGGGGGAGTGATGAGAAAATGCCTTTTCAGGCCGGGTGCAGTGGCTCACACTTGTAATCCCAGCACTTTGGGAGGCCGAGGTGCACCTGAGGTCAGGAGCTCGAGACCAGCAACGTGGTGAAACACCGTCCCTACCAAAAATACAAAAATTGGCCAGGTACCTGTGATCCCAGCTACTCAGGAGGCTGAGGCAGGAGAGAATCACTTGAACCCAGGAGGCGGAGGTTACACTGAGCCGAGATCGTGCCACTGCACTCCAGCCTGGGCAACAAGAATGAAACTCCATCTCAAAAAACAAAAAAAGAAAGAAAGAAAATGCCTGTTTCTTGAAATCTGTGAGAAGCTTCCACCTGCAGCTTGATGCTAAGTTACCTGCAGAGCAGACACACTTGGAAACCCAATGTAGTGTCCTCAGTTGCAGAGCTCTGGGGGCTGCTTCACAGCCGCTGAGAAAACCGAGGCGAAGAGTTCCATACTCTCTGTATTTAACACTAAAAGTCATGAACAAGGTCCTCTGTCCCGCACACTGCATCTCTGTCTTCAACTTACTTCTTAAAGAACCCATAATCTTACAGCAGACAGGGACCTTTCCATACCCAGTGCTAGGGAATGCCAGGCAGAGGTCACTCCACGCTGTGAGGTTCCCATCACCCACCCCTGCTCCTCCGCCATATTATGAGGAGCACAGATGTCCTGGTGATGGGTGCACATTGCTCCTCCCACCCAGAGCACAATCCTCACCTGATCCATCTTCAGTGCAGTTCCTGGAGCCTCCCCATCCATGCGGTCTATCCTGACCCCATGGGTCCCGGGGCAGAGGGGCCACATCTGCATGGGAGACAGTGTCACCAGGCCGGGAGGTGGGGGGTGGATGGGGGTATCACTTGGTGAGGCTTGCCAATGCATTGCCTTCATTTTTTCTGACCAGCTGCAGATAAGTCTACTCTATTCCAGGAACTGTGATCGGACAGCAAGTACCTGCAGAGGCAGAGAGAGGGAGGATGCCTGCATCTAATTCCTAAGACGGGAAAGCCAGAACAACCTGCCCTACACAAGAGCACGCATGCTCTGCACTCTGCACAGGTCTGCCAGGCCTGATTTCATGGCCGGAAGGTGTTGGCTTTTCAGTCCCCAAGGAGGAACAAGTGTGTAGCTGGCTGGTGGCACTGGCCCTGCCCATCACCACAGCTTGACCACCACCCCCACCTGCCACGACGTCACCCATTGCCTCACCCGACCTCACACAGCCTCTCTCCGACCCGTCACAGCCCTGCCCTTGTGTGGGGCCTGCTGTTGTCAAGGATCACGGGGGTCCAGTCCATATCCACCTTGTTGCCCTGAAGGCTGTCCAGTCTACCACAGAGCCTTCCAGATGAAACCTCTCAAGAGGGCGTCCATGTTGCTCTGAATGTGAAGTGCAAATGCCTCAGGGAGTTCCTGACAGCTGGGGTCCCCTTGATCCCTGGAGGGTCAACGGGTTTCTGTGCCATGAAAGAATGAAACTGGGAAAGAAGAGAGGAGCTGATAAAAAACTGATGTGTCCAGGTCATGCGGTTAAAAACACAACTGCCCAGGTGTTCTCTGCATTAAGGGAATACCTCCAGAGAGTGCCTTCAGTCAGGCACCTTCTCTCTCTCCTGCGAGTTCGTCAGGGCTGGCATCCTATCCAGAGCAGGCCCTCATACTTCAGCAAATGAAGGTCAACACCTTCGAGCAGTTCTACACTCACATGTGGGTTGGTCTCAGCTATACCAGAGGGGAAGCAGCACTGCCACCACGGGGCCTCCCCTGCCCCAGGGCCTTCCTCCCGCCCCACAGGACACACCCTTTGCTGTCCAGCAAGTCCTTGATGCTGGCCTTGGTGATAATGGCATCGTCACACTTGAACCACTGGTCTTTGTGCTGCGGGATAAAGCTGGTGTGGTGGCCGCTCTCCAAGGTCCTTTGATGGTTAATGTCAGCAAATAAGGAAAACGTAGTGCAGGAGAAAGGAGAGGGAGCACAGCGGACTCAATGCTGTCACTCACCACCTCCAGAAACCAGGCAGCCTGGGAGAGGAAGCGCAGCGCACTCAATGCTGTCACTCACCACCGTCAGCAACCAGGCAGCCCGGGCAGGGAGGGGAGGCCTGTCAATCCCCAGGGACTCAGGCTGATGCACAGAAGGCTACAGGGATAAGGAGAGCCTGGTCACCCCGCTTGGTTCTCACCCAGGTCCAGCTGCTTCCTGGAACCGCATCTAGTGGGAGTGGTGACTGCAGTCAGCAGCGGGGATCCTGGAACATCCCAGCCTTTCATTCTTTCTACAACCCTAAGGCAAGAAGAATGGACACTAAGCTTTCCAGATGGAACCTCCCTTCTCCCAGAGGCCAGGAGTTGAGATGGGCTCCTCCAGTAGGAGGGAGCATCTGTGGCCCCACATGGAGCAGCCTCTCCTAGCAGAGCCACGGGCAGCCAGGCGGGAAGCTGGTCAGTGGCAGGAGCTCTGCTGGGCGCCCTGCAGGGCAGACAGGGGCCCATCGCTGGCTCTCCGCCAGAGGCCCCCGACACCCACACCGCTGAGCACCTCTTACTTGTTGTTATTGAGACTGTCCATGGGCTGCTGGGACTGTCCATTCATCCTGCTCTCTTTGCTATAACAAACGACAGCAGAATTCAGCATCATTTAAAATCATCAGACACAGAGACACAAGGCTCTCGTGATACCAACACTTATCCAGGCCCGACCACGCAGACACTGTACTGGGGTGCACTTTATGTTTCAGGTAGAAATCACCCCACATTTTGTGAGGATACCAAGGCAGAACACACCTGGGTCCCCGAGTCACCTGGCCTGGCCCCTGGCCCTCCCAAGTTGGGTCCTGAATGGGCTTGGTGATGGGAGTTGGATCTGGGACAAACGTGAGTTTGGTTTGTGACACAGAGATGGTGAGGGCACTCTTCCTCCCACATGTAAAGGGTTTGTTTGAAAAGTGTAAGTCAAATCCATTCCACAACCTAGACAGCTGCTTCCTCAAAAGGGGCAAAGATTGCTGCTCATTATTTCATGACCAGCACCTCTCCTGATGAGATGAGGGAGACACAGGTACTGGGAACAGGAAGTCCCAGGCGTTATTTACTGTGTTTTCCCATGGTTGTGGTTGGCTGAAAACACAAGATCTTTGTGACCCTGACCTTAGCAACAGTACTATCACCTCCCTCGGTACATGACATCGTGGTCAGGCTGACAACACGGAGCTCTGACTCTGGTGATCTTGTTTCATTCAAGAGGTCATCTGTGTGCCACAAGACGGGTGGGACAGCCATGAGAAAGGACACCAGGAAGAGGCCGATAACTAACCAAAGGCAACATGCTTTCCACAATGCTGGCACTGGGACGGTGGCTCTCTGAAAAACAACATCCTCCAAATCATAACATCCATGTCTCAACCCTCAGAACCTGAGACTGGGACCTCATTTGTGAAAAGTCTTTGCAGCTGGAATCAAGGTAAGGATGTCGAGATGAGATACTCCTGGAATGATCTGCCTGGGCCCCAAATCCAATGACCACTGTTTCTGACAGAGAAGCAGAGGGAGATTGGACACACACTCAGAGGAGCTGGCCGTGTGATCAGGAAGCCAGGGAAGGGACATGGCCACAGAAGTTACATATGGAATCACCGGCAGCTGGAGGCTGTCTAGGGTCAGACAAAGGGCCTAGGGAGGAATGGAATCCCCCTAGACACTTTGTAGGAAGTGGGTCCCTGCCAACCCCTTGATTTCAGATTTCCGACCTCTAGAACTGTGAGAAAATTAATTTCTGTGGTTCTAAGCTTCCAAGTTTTTGGTCGTTTGTCACAGATCTGTAGGAAACTCATATGTGTCTCACACATTAGTGAGCAGCATGGTATTCTGGAGGCTTAAATTCCAAGGGCCCCACGATATTACAGATCTGAAAAGGAAAATGCAATCTACAACTGCAAAAGCAACGATGTCTGTCTGTATTTCAATACCTGTTCCACCAATTAAAGTGCTGACTTCTCTGTGTGATCCCACCTGACTTTGCCAGTTTGAAAGTGGATCAAAAATTGTTAGAGAAATATTCAAAGCAAAATCAGTATATCTGGCAAAAACAACTCATTAAAGTGTGTCTTATCTTAAGATCAGGATAAATAGGTCTTTGGAAGGTGGGGTTTATATTAATATCAACAGTCATCTTATCACAGGAGCTCTGAGCTGGGTTCCTGTCCTGACCACAGCCCCTCCAGACACAGAACACGCCAACACCCCCGCCTAGACCTGGAGGCCATGAAAGGGGCCATGTCCAGCTCCAGGGGAAAGAACATGTATGTGGCAATCTTCCGTCACAGCTTGGCTGAGTGTTCAAATCACTGCAGAAACAGGAAAAAGGCAGAGAAGAGGAAAGAAGAACAGCAATGTCATTGGAGGCTTCAGAGGCTTCCTTCAATAACATATGTCTGTGTATCTCATTGTATTTTATGGAATTGCCTTTTAGCTACATCTAGAATTACAGATTCCATAACAATGATAACCCATACAAGTCCTCTTTTACAGGGTTCCAGTCAAGGCTTCAAATGATGGAATTGTTCCGTGATAACACCAAGGGTACAAAAAGTAATTTCACAGCAAACCCAGCAAAGCATAGACAAGCAAAGATCCACGACCCATAGCAGAATAAATAAACAACTTGTTTCTTTCACCAGACAGAAGACAGTCTTCTGCCTAGATCAGGAGTCACGCATTCCAGGCAGTGAGCTAAGGAATGGGTGCTTTCCACATTTAAAGAGTTGTAAAATGAAACAAAGAACATGCAACAGAGATTGTGTGATCGCATGTGGCCTGTGGAGCCTGGTATCTTCACTGTCTGGGCCTTTAGAGAACGAGCTTGCCAACTCCTGGTCTGGATCTGAATGCTGAGGGCCTTCGTTCTAAAGTAAAAGAATAACGTAAAATCTGAGGTGGGAGTAGCTGGAGGAATTTGGGTAGAAGTAATAAAAACGTCACAACCACTCCCTCACAACCACTCCCCTCCCCTAGAAGAGTAGCTCACATCCTACTTTCACTGTAAGACCACTGCTTTTGTTTACCACAGCACAGAGAGAAGGACAATTCACTCATACCCTCTTGTTTCCTCTGTGTTCTTGCTGACTTGCTGCAATTATAAAAAATGTTGGCCAGGTGTGGTGGCTCACGCCTGTAATCCCAGCACTTTGGGAGGCTGAGGCGGGCAGATCACCAGAAGTCAGGAGTTCAAGACCAGCCTGGCCAACATGGCGAAACCCCATCTCTAATAAAACAAAAATTAGCCAGGCATAGTGGTACACGTCTGCAATTCCAGCTACTCAGGAGGCTGAGGCAGAAAAATTGCTTGAACCCAGGAGGCAAAGGTTGCAGTGAGCCGGATTGCGCCACTGTACTCTAGCATGGGTGACAGAATGACGCTGTGTCTCAAAAAAAAACAACAACAAATTAAAAAAAAAAAAAACTCTGCACATCAAACCAAACCAAGAGGCTGCAAGTTGTACTGTGGGCTAAAAATTGAGTCTGCCACTAGGGTTGGCTTTCTGGAAAACCAATTATTCTGAGATAGGAACAGGCTACGATGGGCAGTTTCTTCATGTTGAGCTGATCCGTGGACTCCTGGTAGTTATGGCAATCACTGTGCTTGATCTTGGCACTGCTGCCCAAGTACTCTGGTCTGGTGAATCTACAAGGTGTTTTAAAAAGATAGGAATGGTAAGGGAGATGTGAGAGACAGGAAAAAGTGAGGAAAGGGGTATTTTATCTCTTTCAATAGGTTGATTTTCCTACCAAAAACACCCACATAGAACTATGAATGGTTACAATTTCACAATGAAAAAAAGAGAAAATGTTTCCACCTTTGCTGCCTATCTCTTTAGAGAATATTGATCATAAATGTTTTGTTTCAGGGAAAGAGCTGGGGAAATGATTATAATGTTCTAAGTACCACATGACCGAGCAGTCAAATTTGAGCCAGAAAAATGAAAACTAATGCTCACACAAAAACTGCCCACAAATGTGTACCACAGTGTTACTCATAATCATCACAGAACTGGAAACAACCTCATTTCTTCCCATGGACGAATAAAGAAACTGTGGAACATCTGTACCATGGAACACAAGTCAGCAGCGAAAAGGAAGGAACTACTGACCGCAGCCACACCCTGGATGCATCCTCAGAGAGTTATCATGAGCAAGAAAAGCCAACCCAAAGGGCTCCCTGTTGTATGATTCAGTTTACATGACAATCTGGAAATGTCAGGTTTATGGAAATTGAGAAGGAGTCCCTGATGGCTGGGGTTACAGAGCGAGTGGTGAGAAAGGAGGTGATGAAGATGCTGGGTACTTTCTGCATGAATGTCTCTGCATCCTGGCTAGGGCACCGCGCCACAGCACTGCAGGATGTCACCATCAGGGAACCAGGGCAAGGAGCAGCAGATTGCTTCTTACAACTGTATGTGAATCTACAATGATCTCAACATGAGCAGTTTAATGTAGAGAGACGAGAGGTCTGGGAAAGGTAATTTCCTGACAGTGCAGAGGCAAGAAGTAGGAGGGCTATGTTAGAAGTGCATCTGGCACAGGTGGCAGCTGCCACCAACAAAACCCACGGAACAGATGATTCAACAAAGCACACATCAAATTTTAAAGCTGAAACACTAGCAAAAATCTCAATCTTTTCACAGCCAGGTATGGAAAGCCTTTGTTTACGGTTTGGAAATTCTGCCATCTCACCTAGGGCAAGATGAAAAGACCCCCGGGCAAAGTGGCACCTGTTTCCTTGCTAGCTTTGGGATCTGTTCTCCACAAGACTCAAAAGGAGCCTTTGCTTGTAATACAAAGTGAGGAAGGGCACGCTCTCCCTCTCCTCCACCTTCCCAGGAGCCAGCACCATGCCAGATCTCTCCTAACAACACAGGCTTCCTACACATTGTAGTTTGTGAAGTGCGGTTTCTCCCTCATGGCCTACTGTTTTAGCAATGCTTTTTTTTTTTTTTTTTTTTTTTTGAGGGGGTTCACCCTTTTTCCCCGGCTGGCATGCAGTGGCACAGTCTCAGCTCACTGCAATCCCCGCCTCGCAGGTTCAAGTGATTCTCCTGCCTCAGCCTCCCGAGTAACTGGGATTACAGGTGCCTGCTACCACACCTGGCTAATTTTTTGTATTTTTAGTAGAAGCAGGGTTTCGCCATGTTGGCCAGGCTTGTCTCGAACTCCTGACCTCGTGATCCACCCGCCTCGGCCTCCAAAAGCACTGGGATTACAGGAGTGAGCCACCGTGCCTGGCCAACACTTTCACTTTATTGGAATTTATAACGAAGTTTAATTTAGTTGCAAAGGCCTTCTTTAAGAAGGTTTTGAGTTCCATCGTTTATTTACTAGTTTTCTGAATTTAAAACGTGATACCCCATTTTATTATGTGGACTTAGTGTTACAAAGTTGATGCTTTCAAAACTCTAAACATGCAAACTTTTGGCAGGGCACAGTGACTCATGTCTGTAATACCAGCATTTGGGGAGGCTATGTTGAAAGGATCACTTGAGCTCAGAAGTTCAAGGCCAGCCTGAGCAATGTGGCAAGACTCTGTCTCGACCAAAAAAAAAAGAAAAATTTTTTTAATCACAAAATTATCTGGGCATGGTAGCACGCACCTGTGGTCCCAACTACTGGGGAGGCTGAGGCAAGAGGATGGTGTGAGCCCAAGAGATTGAGGCTGCAGTGAGCTATGATCATGCCACTGCACTCCAGCCTGTTCAACAGAGCAAGACCCTATCTCAAAAAATAAAATAAACATGCAACTTTGGTCCTGTTGACTATGCAGCCAGACAGAAACCAAAAGCTTATACCTCTTCTAAGGAATACTTCCACTCAACAAGGACTCTTCTGTATTACCTTTAATTAATGCAAATAAAACAAGGACTATAAAACACTAGACAAAGTTTAGGAAGGTTTTCTGCTCCTTTTACAATTGTATGCTACGGCTACTTAAATACATTAAAAAAAAAAAAAAAAAACACTTCCTAAATCTTACTACTTATCCCAAATAAAGCAGTAAATGAACAATTTCAAAAATGGCCCTAAGCACAGAACATCACAACTAAGTTTCAATCACGTGTAGAGAAGGCTGTGGACCACAGGGAGAGAGCTGGACGTTTCTCAGCTCACATTCCAGGGTCGGTGTTTACTACAAAGGCTAAAGGAGCATCCAGTTTGGCTCTCAACTCATTTACATGAGGAGGTTGGAATATCAGCTGCTGACAGCAACATCCGGCACTGTGCAAAACTGGGGAACAGAAATATCAGCTGCTGACAGCAACATCCGGCACTGTGCAAAACTGGCCAAAACAGAAGACAAACTAGCCAACCCAGGCTAGTGCTGCATCTTTGCTCAGGCTCTGTCCTGGGCATGTAAAAGAAAAGCCCTCTTTTGGTTCTGATCAAGTACAGCCTTCCCGCCAGGAAGACGAGCCCCTTCCACGTGGGTGCAGGCAGGCTTCTCACCTTCGAGGCAGTCCATGATTGTGGTGGTTCCCAGACACGTGGCTTTCCCTGTTCACCATGCTGCCCTTGCTCCCTGGGCTCAGGGGCCAGAATGGGGTGGAACAGCTGGGCAGATCCAAGCTGATGTCCCAGAAGGGATCTATGGTAGTGGAGACACTGCTGGAAGCAAAGAGAGGGAACAATGCCCGTGAGGACTGATGCCCTCCCAGCTCCAGAGGCATCCTAGGGAGGAGGCTGCGCCCACACCCCTTCCCCATGGTGCCCTTTGTCTCAGGGACACTTGGGACTTGGGATCAAGAGCAGCAGTGCTCATACCTGACCTGTCTTGGCTCCCAAGGTGGCCCTGGGGAGGGATGTGTGTGAACCCTGAAGCCAAGGGCTGCTCCTCAAGCAAGGGCTTCCCAGCCTGGAGACCATCATAGTCACTAAAGGGCTTTGGAAGAGGATAAACTCATGGGCCCCATCAGAGGCTCTGAATCCACCGGTCTATTTTACAGCTGCATCTGGAACCTGGGGCCTGCGATCTAGGTGACACTGGAGACTTCCTTGCACACTTCACAGAGAGTGTGCCCCAGCCAGGCTGGCCCTTTTTTTTTTTCTTTATTTTTGGGACAGAGTCTCGCTCCATCACCCAGGCTGGAGTGCAGTGGTGCCATCTTAACTCACTGCAACCTCCGCCTCCTGGGTACAAGTGATTCTTCTGCCTCAGCCTCCTGAGTAGCTGGGATTACAGGTGCCTGCCACCACGCCCAGCTAATTTTTTGTATTTTTAGTAAAGACAGGGTTTCACCATGTTGGCCAAGCTAGTCTTGAACTCCTGACCTCAAGTGATAGGCCTGCCTCGGCCTCCCAAAGTGCTGGGATTACAGGCATGAACCACTGCGTCCAGCCCCCAGCTGGACTTTTTTTTTATATATACTTTAAGTTCTAGGGTACATGTGCACAATGTGCAGGTTTGTTATATGTATACATGTGCCATGTTAGTGTGCTGCACCCATTAACTCACCATTCACATTAGGTATATCTCCTAATGCTATTCCTCCCCCCACCCCCTCCCCACAATAGGATCCAGTGTGTGATGCTCCCCTTCCTGTGTCCAGGTGATCTCATTGTTCAATTCCCACCTATGAGTGAGAACATGCAGTGTTTGGTTTTCTGTTCTTGCAATAGTTTGCTGAGAATGATGGTTTCCAGCTGCATCCATGTCCCTACAAAGGACACAAACTCATCCTTTTTTATGGCTGCATAGTATTCCATGGTGTATATGTGCCACATTTTCCAGCTGGACATTTAATGCTGCATTTCACAAGGCCAGTTCCTTGCTAGAGATTTATTTGACAACACTAAAAACAAAAACTCACAGACTGGGAAATTTGCTCTCGATATTTATACAAGATTTAAATCTGAGACAATTTCCTGCTGACGGAATTCAGTAGTTGAGGGTCAGCAAGGAGGTCTAAACTGCTCAGAGCAAACTTGGTTCCTAATGCTTAGAGCCAAGGCCTCTAACGGTCTATGCTCCTTACAGAAAATTGCATCCGTGACACAGCCAGCAGTGGCCTTTCCTGTTTTTCACTGGTCTTATGCAGACTACAGGTGGCAATCCATTATGGGTTCTGAAATCGTTTTAGTGGATCATGTCCAAGGTTTTTAAAACTTCAACTGCAGTAAAGAACAGAGCCGGCCGGGCGCGGTGGCTCAAGCCTGTAATCCCAGCACTTTGGGAGGCCGAGACGGGCGGATCACGAGGTCAGGAGATCGAGACCATCCTGGCGAACACGGTGAAACCCCGTCTCTACTAAAAATATAAAAAACTAGCCGGGCGAGGTGGCGGGCGCCTGTAGTCCCAGCTACTCCGGAGGCTGAGGCAGGAGAATGGCGTGAACGCGGGAGGCGGAGCTTGCAGTGAGCTGAGATCTGGCCACTGCACTCCAGCCTGGGCGACAGAGCCAGACTCCGTCTCAAAAAAAAAAAAAAAAAAAAAAAAAAGAACAGAGCCAGGCACCGTGGCGCACACCTGTAGTCCCAGCTACTTGGGAGGCTGAGGTGGGAGGATTGCTTGAGCCCAGGGGTTCAAGGCCAGCCTGGGCAACATAAGACCCCATGCCTAAAAATAAAACAAAACCCAGCAGCGTGCACTAAGGTTGGTTGAGAGGGTTCCTCTAATCTAACAAAACAGTAGATTCTTCCTGCACTCAATGCTTGGAGCTATAAGCAAAGACCACACCTCAAAAGAATTAGGGCCACTACATAGAGAAAATGGAATAAGAAACTATAAAATAATGAGAACTAACACACTTCAAAGCACATATGTAAATAATCTGCCATACGTGATCCACCCCTTCTTGAAGGGGGTTATTTTTTGTTTGTTTGTTTCCTGGTCAAGGACTAGAAGAAGAGAAATGTTGGGGGACGCTTCCAAGAACACACTACTGGCTGTGGACAACACCAAGACCTCCACACAGAGGTCTCGCATCCCACCGGGACACCCACCCCAGGCTCTCCCCAAGAGGAAGCACCTCTACCCCACAACCTTCGCTCTCAGGGCGTCTGTTAACCATTTCTCTTGTAGCCTCCTTAAAGACCTCTCAGAGCACACACAGTTCTGGAGACTGGCAGCTCTGGAGACTGGGAGATGTCAGCAGAGCCCTGGTGGGTTTCAACGCCACCAAGCACACGGCCTGTCACTTACTGGTAGACTTGGCAGGTGACATCCAACTGCAGCCCACCAGTGAGGATCTGATCTATGACGCAGCTGCAGTGTTTGGGGTTGTTGGCCTTCTTCCTGTTGTCATCACCTGGGGACAGAGCACAGCTCTGGGATTAACGTCTGTGTGCTCCAAAGATGGGGAGTCTCCAAGGGAAGAGCACATTCACCCAGCAGAGACCCGAGGAACCCTGGGCCGATGCTTTAAAAGGCCACATGAGGTCAGGCGTGGTGACTCTCACCTGTAATCCCAGCACTTTGGGAGGCCAAGGCGGGCGGATCATGAGGTCAAGAGATCGCGACCATCCTGGCCAACATGGTGAAACCCCGTCTCTACTAAAAATACAAAAATTAGCTGGGCGTGGTGGCACGTGCCTGTGGTCCCACCTACTCAGGAGGTTGAGGCAGGAGAATCGATTGAACCTGGGAGGCAGAGGCTGCAGTGAGCCAAGATCGCACCACTGCACTCCAGCCTGGTGACAGAGCGAGACTCTGTCTCAAAACAAAACAAAACAAAAAAGCCACATGAGGACACTCCTCATTTCAGCAGAGGGTCTCCTCATTATTTTAACGTGATGAGAAATCACAGCACTTGGATTTGTAATGTTTCTTTTTCTCATTCCCTAAGAAGAGCCCCACAGCTTCAATCTTGCCAAGAAAGCCCTCATAATACCCAAATGACTGAGTATAGGGTAACTGAGCACCTTTTTCATATAGAGAATGATTGAGTCAATATTCTTCTGGTAAGACAGCTAAACATATGGTGGGCCAGGCACACCCAAGGAAGCCCCTACAACCTCCCTCCCTGACTAGGTATCACGGTGCCCTGAGTGCAGAATGCAACACCGCAGGGTGCTCTGGAACTGTCCTCATCAGCTGGAGCCCCCCGGGGGACAGCATGTCTTCCCGTTAGTTGCATCTGGAAGTGCCATGCCCACCCTCTCTATCCAATACACGTTTAATTCATATCTGTGTGTGTGGGCAAGTGAAGAAGAAACTTAAGTAGTGGAACTTAATACCTAATGTGGAATACATATTCTACATAACTTCACTCAACTAGACAGTAGGGATAGTGCATGGGGCCGTCTGTTTATAGGTCACAGTTCAAAGATGTTGAATCATGACAGAGGAATAGAGACTGATCACTGAGTCTTCTGAGCAGAGGTTTAAGATTAGAAAGAAAAATGCTACCCAGAAGGAACTCAAATTCATGGGACAAAATGTTAGAATATCCATGTAGGAAGATGCAAAGAAAGATAAATGGAAAGATGCATGGAGGTCACAAGGACAAACAACTGCACGTAACCAAAGGCACATGGCCAGGTCACCTTGCTAAAGGGTTTCGACGATCATGTTTCTAAATGGAAGAATCTTACATTTCTTTTCAGACATTTCCAAGGGGATGAAATCAGAAGCACAAGAATCTTGGTTAGGAGACTATGGACCGCTACCGCTACTGGCCCCAGTCAAGCACTTACCTCACTGATTACAACTGTCCACGGCTCCATGTCCCCATAGACTGTAGGTGCTAGGACAACCCCGATGCATTCTAGGTAACTGGTAACTGTTTACTAAATAGCACATTTTATAAATGTGTGCATCAACGTCACTTCAGTGTTCACTAGTAAATGACCACCTCGTTCCTTAGCTACTCAAGCCAAAAATAATAATAATATTATTATTGTTTTTCACATAGTAAATTTTTTATTGGAGGGGGAGAACATCTAAAATCTACATTCTTAGAAAAATTTTAGTATGCAACACAATATTTTGAATTATAATCCTTGTGCTGCACATTATATTTCTAGGCTTATTTAATCTATCATAATTGGCACGACTACAACCATAAAGACTGTTGAGATTACAATGCTCTTTACAAATAACTCTATTCAAGAAAAAAATTGAAATGACACCCACAGAAAAAGCTGATTGTGTTTTTATAATAAACAACAATGAAAGAAAGAAAATACATTTTGAGAAGAATTTAAAGTACTGAACTTAGGTTAAATTATTTAATACAAAAAGTATTAAAGTGTCATTTAACTCATTTGTAATTTAAAGCCAGCAGAATATACATACTTCTAATTGTCATCCTACTAAGAAGATACATATACTGAAATCAACAAAGTTTTAAGTTCTTCAGTTTTTAAAGATGCATAGTTTAACATTACCGAGACACTTTCCAACACATCTTCTAAGCAAGGCACCAGACTCCAAATTTTTTTTTTCACTTAAAAAATATTCACTGGGCTGGGTGCATGACTCACGCCTGTAATCCCAGCACTTTGGGAGGCCGAGGCGGATGGATCACCTAAGATCAGGAGTCTGAGACCAGCCTAGCCAACGTGGCAAAACCCCATCTCTACTAAAAATACAGAAAATTAGCCAGGCGTGGTGGCGAGTGCCCATAATCCCAACTACTTGGGAGGCTGAGGCAGGAGAAGTGCTTGAACCTGGGAGGCAGAGGTTGCAGTGAGCCGAGATCATACCATTGCACTCCAGCCTGGGCGACAGAGACTCTGTTTCAAAAAAAAAAAAATCATTTTACTAGTCTCTTCATTCATTTTACTGGTCTCTATAACAGATTTGAAGGAAAGTTTATAGACTGTAAGTCATGCTTTCTGTTATTATCTACCTCCTACTTATTCTTTACCTGAAGGTGAAATGTCTAACTGTGACTTGGAACTGTCGTCAACCCACAGTATTCTAAGCATATATTATTTTCATTACCAAATTTCATCTTCCCAGCTTGAAGGACTACTAGCAAACTGAGGTGGTGACAAGATTGACATGTGAGAAGTCAAAAGAAGGCAATCTGAGGCTACTGACCCCCTGGCCATGTTATACCTAAGAAGTCAGTCACTTGAGCATCCCTGGGTAGGAGGCTACTGTGTGTTGTTGAGGTCACATCCACATCACCTGCTGGCTGAGATGGAGTGAGTTAAATCACAAAAGTTAAGAGTAAAGAGTGTTGGTCAAATGAATAGACCTAATCCTGATATCCCTGAGAATTTCAGATGGAGAAGCATTTTCAAAGAAAACAATTGTTTCACAATGATCTGACAATGAATTTTTCTTGCCTGTAAATTTTATTTGAAAAATGATAAGGATAAAAATAATTACATTTTTCTTCCTTTTACACTTATTTGACCTAAAATAAAATTTCAAACCCCCCAGAACCTGGAGGCTATCACCACATATCCTGATCATTCAACCTGGAGTTGACATACCTTCTCCAGTGTCACCACCATCCATGTACATACATGGCTAATGATGCATCTTCATCATATGCCTCTGATTAAATCTATCATGCTCAGTTACTCCTCCCAGGAAGAATCAAGCCACAGGAAAATAGGACTAAGGCTGAGGATGAGAAAAAGGTGAAGTATGGAAAGTACTGGAAGATTGGGGACATGAAGTGGGCTGGGGAGACAAGGAATTTAATGGGAGATCCTGAACACACAGGAGCAGAAAAGGGGCAAAAGCTTACAATGAACTACCAGAAATTGGAGGGGAAATAAAGATGTCAAAGATAAAAGCCAATTTCACCTAATGCACAACTCTGTCTCCAGCAAGATCTACTCCTCCAGGCTTAGTGGGCAGTAACTATTGGAAGGTTGGCAGAGATGCGGGAACTAAGAAATAAACCAAGACTACAAAATTACCACTGTGCCTGCTTCAATACACCTTTCTTCCCCCACTCCAGGTAACACTCACATAGAAAGCACAGCACAAAATGAATGCCCACTGGTTGGTTAGTAAAAAGTTGTAAAGTAGGCAGAGAATGGGAAAGGCACCATTGTACTGTTACCAAGCAAAGGAGGCTGGCTGCCCAAGTCACTGGAAGTCAATACTGTAACACTGGGTTTTTGATAAAATAAAAACTGTTATTGCATGTCAACCAACAAAGAAATAGGAAGTCCAGCTCAAATCTGTCTCCCTGCGCTGGCGTTAGGGCAATTATTAGAAATGGTTTTGCGTGTGGATTCCGGGATTAGCAGGTGCATGGTGGAAGGAAAGAGGAAGTCTGGGAAGTCCCTGGGCATTTGCTCCTGTCTCTTCATGCTACCTAAGGGTTCCACCTGCAAATTCAGTGAGGAGTTACTATGAAACATGCCATAGAAATTCAGCTGTAAGGTCAGCAAGCTGGGTCTGTGCAGACTCTAGATGGCCTTATAGGTTCCAATGGATTTCAGCCAGTTTTATTAACCTACAAGCCCAGGCATTTCAGCATTTCAGCAATTTGTTTCTTTTATCTGCCATCCTGTAAACTCAAGAATTTCTATGAGTGTTTTCTTTAACTCTTTGGCACACAGTTTCAACGCCCTTCTTCTCAGAGGTTGTCATTCTCACCCTCACCTAGAACTTCTGGGAGTTCTAGCCTCCCACATTGTATTAGTTTTTTCTCACAATGCTATAAAGAACCGCCCAAGACTGGGTAATTTGTAAAGGAAAGAGGTTTAGTTGACTCACAATCTCACGTGACTGGGGAGGCCTCAGGAAACTTACAATCATGGCAGAAGGCCAAGGAGAAGCAGTCACCTTCTTCACAAGGCGGCAGAAAGGAGAAGTGCTAAGAGAAGAGGAAAGAGCACCTTATAAAACCATCAGATCTCGTGAGAATTCACTCACTATTGCGAGAACAACATGGGGGAAACTGCCCCCATGATCCAGTTACTTCCACCTGGTCTCTCCTTTAACATGCGGGGATTATGGAGATTACAATTCAAGATGAGATTTGGGTGGGGACACAAAGCCTTACCATATCACACATATCATACATAGAGCCTAACCTCCCCACATCCCATTCCTTGATGGGGTGTGGGGGGCAAGTGGGGAGGGGGGTGACATCCCTGTTCTCAGCCATCACAGGAAGTCATGACCCTGTAGGCGCAGAGACGTGGCTCACATTTGTATCTTTTGGGGAAAACTGAGATAATCAAGGTGGGGCTAGGCTCTGGGGATGAGGCAAGTAAAGGACTTTGCCACGTCCGCACCCACCAGGCAAGGAGCAGAGGCTCTGTTAGGGCGCCATGCCAGGGGCTGCAGTTTCAAAATCCTGCAGACTACACCCTCGATCTGGCCGCACTGTCCTCAATCCTGTGAGGTGACCTGGGGAGGGAGGACAGGTCGCATGCTCCGACCTCACCAGGGACTCCACTGGACCGGAGTTCTTCCTCCGCCCAGTCCACATGAGAACACTCCGTGGCCCGCCGGGAGACAGCTTCAGACCTGGAAGCCCTGGAAAAAGAAACTGATATCGCCGGCCGGGCGCGGTGGCTCAAGCCTGTAATCCCAGCACTTTGGGAGGCCGAGGCGGGCGGATCACAAGGTCAGGAGATCGAGACCATCCTGGCTAACACCGTGAAACCCCGTCTCTACTAAAAAAATACGAAAAACCAGCCGGGCGAGGTGGCGGCGCCTGTAGTCCCGGCTACTCGGGAGGCTGAGGCAGGAGAATAGCGTGAACCCGGGGGGCGGAGCTTGCAGTGAGCCGAGATAGCGCCACTGCACTCCAGCCTGGGGCACAGAGCAAGACTCCGTCTCAAAAAAAAAAAAAAAAAAGAAACTGATATCGCCATCGCCGCTGCCGCTAGAGGGCGTCTGGGGGCGAGGCGCGGGTGGGGCCAGGCGGTGTCCTACTGGAGGCAGGGCGGCGAGCCGAGAGGGGCGGGGCAAGGGACCGGGAGGCGGGGCCAGCGGCCGCAAGGCGGAAGAGACCCTCTCACCTGCGACACCGCGCCTCCCGCTGTCTTCACTCTCAGTACCTCTTCGCGTTCTTGCCAGTGCCGCATCGCTGGGCTGGCTGCCTCCGAGGTCTCTAAGAGCCGCCTACCACGCCCCGCCCGCCACCCGGCAGCCCCCAGCCCCTCAAGGACGCATCACTTAGTGCCGCGGTCACGGCTACCGTCACAAGCGCCCCCCAGCCCCACCCTACCCCGGCCTGCCCGCCGTCCTTCTCCCGCCCCCGCCCCTGCCTGCCAGCTCCACCGGGCCGCAGGTGCAGACGACCTCAAAATTCCTCTGCCCGCGAAGGCCGCCAGCTGCAGGGAGCGGAGGGGAGGCGCGGTCCCGCAGCGCCCCCAGACTCATGTCCCAGGTGTGTCCAGACCCCCGAGGCACCGCTCGCAGGGCGATGACAGCCCGCGAGGCTCGGCCTCGGCCCCCGGCACCCTTGGTCCCAGCTACGCCGCCTCCTGGCCTTCCCCCAAGTCCGAGGGAGAGGTGGGATTCTCCCCGACGCAGTGGAAACCTGGAATCCCTTTTAGGGTCCCGTTCGTGCTGCACCCTTGACTCCACCATCTGCAAACGGATTCATGTCCGGAATCCCCGAAGCCTTTAGGACAGCTCTTATTCTGTTGAATGAAGAGTCTCTAATTTTCGGAAAGACCACAGGCTAAAAGTCAACTGAGTTTTCTTGAATAGTTATAGTTAAATTTGAGGCAGGAATTGAATTTCAGTTGATAGCCACAAAGCGGACTGGTACGAACCTACTGGATGGTCATTGTGGTGACTACTTGGAGGCACCTTCCACTTTGTGGATTTGTTTCAGTTGAAATTCATTTCCATAGAACTTATTTAGGTCTCTATTACTGATTTGACCGCTTTCAGTGCAGAGGGAAGCCTGTGATTTTTGTGTAGCATCAGGTTGAACAATTTAGCAGTGTAAAATGTGTTTTCTGCCTGCCTTGAGTCGACAAGCCAAATGTCCCCTCCTTTACTTTTCCAGGTTGTGCCTTTTTAGCCAAGAAGCATGGAGGTCATTCACGGCAGGCCCTACTGTTGCAGGGAGCTTGAAGGAGCTGACATACTGTCCAACACCTTTTACTCTAATGAATTGCACACCCCCCTCCAAACGACTACTCGCCCAACTGCCTCAGAGGACAGGTAAAACAAAAACTAGAAAAAGCAAAGAAGAAAAAGCAGTTTTAATGTATTAGTGTATTTTATTATGTGATGAAAAACATGTATTGTTCTGGGGCTCTTCTGTTTTTTGTTTGATTTTGAGACGGAGTCTCACTCTTGTCACTCAGGCTGGAGTGCAGTGGTGTGATCTCGACTCACACCACTCCCAGGTTGAAGTGATTCTCCTACCTCACCTTCCAGAGTATCTGGGATTACAGGCATGCTCCACCATGCCTAGCTAACTTTTTTGCATTTCTAGTAGAGACAGGGTTTCACTATGTTGGCCAGGCTGGTCCCAAACTCCTGACCTCAAATGATCCACCCACCTCGGCCGCCCAAAGTGCTGGGATTACAGGCGTGACCACTGCACCGGGCTGGGGCTCTTCTGCTTATCATATCACAGGGAAGGCAAAACGTGGCAATTAACTGAACTGTCAAGTGTCTGTAAGGAACTTGAGAAGTAAGTGGCTGTGTACTATAAAAGCCAGACATCATATTCATCTACTACATTCTAAAATCGTAGAATGGCCCGTTCCTTCATTGGGAAATTAATATGTTGTAATCAAAGACTATTATAAAGAGTACTGTATTGGTTCCCTAACATGCCCTTCTACCATCTAGAATTTGCTGCTTATAGTTGTGTAAATTTTTGCTTCACCAAATTCCCTGTAGCACATTAATTACACATTATGATTTAATTTATGAAAAGCAGTTTGGTGATTTCTCCAAGAACTCAAAACAGAGTTACCATTTGACCCAGCAATCCCATTATTGGATTCTAAGTTGTTCTTATACGTTGTTCTATCAAAGGAATATAAGTTGTTCTACTATAAAGACACAGGTATGTTCACCGCAGCACTATTCACAATAGCAAAGATATGGAATCAGCCTAAATGCCCATCAATGGTTGATTGGATAAAGAAAATGTGGTACATATACACCATGGAATACTATGCAGTCATAAAAAACAAGATCATGTCCTTTGCAGCAACATGGATGGAGCTGGAGGCCGTTATTCTAAAGCAAACTAACACAGGAACAGAAAACCAAATATCACCTATTCTCACTTATAAGTGGGAGCTAAACATTGAGTACACATGGAGACAAAGAAGGGAACCGCAGACACCAAGGCCTACTTGAGGGTGGAGAGAGGGAGGAAGGCGAGGACCAGAAAACTACCTCTTGGGTACTGTGCTTATCACCTGGGTGACAAAATAATTTGTACACCCAACCGCTGCAACATGCAATTTACCCGTATAACAAACCTGCATATGTACCCCTGAACCTAGAAAAAAAGTTTTTAAAAAAAATTACAATGAAAAATATTGCACCTAACATATCTAATGATTACTATGTGTCAGCACTCTACCAAATGCTTTGTATGTAGTAATTCGTTTAATCCTCATGACGACCCTATGAGATAAGTACTACTGTTATCTGCATTTTACATATGAAATAACAGATACACACAAGGAGTTTGCCAAGATCTTAGTGTCAGCATTTCCTCTATTGTATTTACTTGAATCATTTTGAGGAAAGGAAAAGAAAAAAACACCTCAAAACACCTGGACAATGAAAAAATGACTGGTTGTCTGCTTGTTTTGTGGAGTTCTTTTCTTTCTTTCTTTTTTTTTTTTAGACGGAGTCTCGCTCTGTCGCCAGGCTGGAGTGCAGTGGCACAATCTCGGCTCACTGCAACCTCCGCCTCCTGGGTTCAAGCAATTCTCCTGCCTCAGCCTCCCGAGTAGCTGAGACTACAGGTGCACACCACCACACCCAGCTAATTTTTTTGTATTTTTAATAGAAACGGGATTTCACCATGTTGGCCAGGATGGTCTCGATCTCCTGACCTCGTGATCCATCCACCTCAGCCTCCCAATCATTTAAGAATTCTTTAGGAAACCAGACAGGCAGTCACCCAACCTCAGTTTAAACACTTCCAAAAAGGACAGCACTTCCACACCAGGCAGTCCATTCCACTTTTGAATGCTCCTGATTGTTAGATCATTTTCTTTCTAATGAGAACAATTTTTTCCCTTGTAATTTCTGCCTGCTGATTCTAGTTCTTCCCTCTGAAGCTATGCAAATAGTAATTCATCGTCCCATGCTAGCAGCCCTTCAAAATCTGAAGATTCTCTTGGCCCCTCTGAGAGTTCTGTTTGCCAGACTAAACACTGATTCTCACAGATTCAGCTCCTTTTTCTTCTTGCACTTAGCCTTTCACCATCTCGATCAGACTTCCACAGGTCTTCTCCAGTTTACAAACATGCTGTTTATATTAATAAAGAAAAAGAATGATTTTTCCATAATTATAAAACTAACACACATTCCTCATAATGTAGAAATCATAGAAATCTGTAAGGAAAACAAATTCTTTCTTTTTCCAACAGAAAAATTATGAAAATGAGGCACAGGAAAGAAACCCTCTGTACTTCCTTTATCCAGAGATAATAACTACTGTGTTAACATCTTAATATGTGTCCTCTCCAATTTTTTTAAATGTAAAGATCATATTCAACATTTTTTAAATCAATTGCTATTTTCACTTAATGAAAAGAAATATTCTTATATTGGGGGAAGAGGAGCTCTTGTCACTTCTGGGTCAGTCCTTGCTGCCCCTACTCCTCTACCATTGACCTGATTCACAAGAGTGGTTTTCAGCCCTTAATTCCCGTTCAGCTCCAAGGGCTATCACATTAGGCAGAGCTTCACTTGAGTCAAATGAAATTCTTAGTGGATTGTGTGTGATCTGGGAATGGGCAGTTGTCCCTGGCTCAAAAACAGCAATGTGAGGTTTTATATTTGGCCGAAAGGAATCCAAGAATTTAGGGCTGCCATATCTAAATGCACCACCAAAAAGCACTGGCAAAGGCTTTTCACTGAAATGTTGATCCCCTCTACCTAAAAGGTCCTATAGTTGGTTAGTGATCGGCTCCAAAACCCTTTAACTGGCATGAAATTTAAGAGAAGCACATTTTTTGTTAACTGACTATAAAATTCAACACGATATATGGTCAACTATAAACTACAAAAAGGTATTATTTGAAGCTCTGTCTAGGTACAACCATGTCCCTGGCTACTAATAACTACAATTTGCTTTCCCTTTTATTTCACGTGAATTATTTCCTTTCACAATCCCCAGACTGAGAAAACCAGGATGATCATGTGTTCTCAGAACCCCTCCTCTTAACTCCCTCTTAAAAAGCAGCCAGACAGCTTACAAAAGAGTCTCTTCTCTCAGTGTTAGTGATGGAACAGCTCTGGGCGGTGTTCGCAGGATACCAGTGGCCTGTCTGTTCTATCATTGCTGAGGCTCACTTCTCCAGACCAGGTGCAGGGTCTGTGGCTCCCAATTTGAATCACAAGGTATCTCAACAGCAAAATAAAACAATACAAAACAGAAAGCCCCTGGTTTTTCGGGATTACCTTCATATGTGAGCCCTAGCATACGTCTACACTCAGCAGCTTAATTTTCTAAACACGGATGTACTTAAAGGGACACTCTTTGTAAATACTGTGATGTATCCAGGTACAACTTAGATCATGTAGGCTGTACCTACAACTTAGATGCAGCCATCGTGGCACTCACTTGGCAGTTTTAACAGTGACACAAAACGATTTCCTCACATCGGCCTACTTCTTTTTTTCTTTTCACCATAGGTGAGGTGAATACAAAAATTAGCCAGGTGTAGGGGCTCACACCTGTGGTCCCAGCTACTTGGGAGGCTGAGGTGGGAGGATCACTTGAGCTTAGAGGCAGAGGTTGTAGTATGCCAAGATCACACCACAGCACTCCTGACTGGGCAACAGAGCGAGACCCTGTCTCAAAAATCAAAACAAAATAAAACAATACAAAAATAGATGACGTAGTCTAGCTGCCCTGTTACCCAGGACTGGTCTGCAGACAGGGTACTTCAAAATCA